TTTTTTTTTTTTTTTTTTTTCTTGTGACTTTCTGAATTGCAAGAAAAAAGTCAGAATTGTGAGATAAAAAGTTGCAGTTAACTTTTTTATTTTTTTTATTCCATGGTGGAAATGGGCTTCCATATTAAATAACATTATAAAATAATAATTAAATCACAAATTATTTAGAAGACATGGCCACCCAAATGGTTCTCCGGTAGTCCGAGAGCCCCTCCGTTGAGACAGCCCGTCTCAGATGTGTCTGTCCTCCATGCTTACTCACCTGACATCTTACACATTCCTGACACATTTTTCCCACAGCGCAGGCGGTAACGTGATTCCTGCAGGCATGTAGCTGTCATTGTAGCCGTGTGTGCAGTTGTCAGCTGTGAGTGAACGGCCCTGTTTCAGCTGCCATGGGGAGGGGGATGGGGCTGGGCCCGCCGGGATGCAGGGTAGAGAGCAGTCACCCTCAGGAAAGCCCCAAAGCAGTCACATCCCAGCAGGCCCTGCCACACAGTTGCTCAAACTGGATAAAGTTTCCACATTTGGGGTCAAAAATCTTTCTGGCACAGAAACAGAAAGGACATACTGCACATCAGGCTTACAATTAAGGAAATCTCTGACTTATTTTCTTTTTTAGCGATTAATTTGTCTGAATTTCTCTCTCTTTTTGGATTTCACAGCAAATGAGAAGATTGAGGACATTAATGGATGCCCTAAGAGTCGTTCTCAAATGGTAAGAACTTCTGTCTTCTGGTTGTTTTTTTTTACTGCCGGTGTAATTTTATAATGACTTTAATGCACTTTTGTGCATTAAATGACAATGTTAGATCTGTCCAGGGCAACACTACACTCAGAAAAAAAGGTACAAAATGTATTTAATATGTCCACTTTAGGTACTAATATGTACTTTTAAAGTTATTGTATGTACTTTTAAGGTATTAATAGGTACCCTTTAGGGGTAAATAAGGTACAATAAGTACAATAAGATGTACCTTTTAGTATTTCTACCTTAGGATACCGCCCCTGTGACAGCTTTGTACCTTTTTTTTTCTGAGAGTGTAATACATTAGATTCTCACTGATGTTGCCCGCAGGCTTATAGACATGCACTTTATTACTGTTATTTTTGTTTCTCTTGCGGTGTCTTTTTATAAACATCTGGTTTAAGGGGGTGTAGTTTGGCAGATACTTTAAAAAAAACTCTCAAAACCATCAGTAAATGTATAGGTTTGGAGGAAGCACAAGCCAGATTACAGACATAAAGAGCTATTTTAGCCAAGCCAAAGCTAAGCAAAACAAACCCTAGAAGTCTGAGTATCGCTGACAGTCGTATCACACATGAACCAGGGGCAGGGGTTGGTTTTGACTTGTCTCGATTACAAAGACGGCTGTCGAGCCTGATTGGACACAACAAAGGAATCATTTTCAAAGGGCTTGAGGTCTGTACGTGCGTTTTGTTGTTATTAGAGATTTTGATTTGTAACGGTGGTCTGTTGAGGAATTGCTCTTGTTTTGACAGTGATGAAACCCAGCTGAAACCAGTGCATGTTGGGTTTGGAGACTGGTGTGCTGCGTTCTTTGGCCAACTAGCTTCACTAGAAAGATAAAGGTGTTGCAGTTGATAAGGATGGGAATCCCGAGGAATTTAAAGATTCTGGTTCTGATTCCAATTAACAATTCATGTTCCTTAACGGTTCAAATATGGATTATTTTAGTATTTTTTAGAAATAAATATTTGGAAAAATAAGCACGATATATTCATTTTTATATTTTAAAAGAACAAATATAAACGAAAGATCACAAGTTTGAGGTTGGTAAGATTTTTAAATGTTTTTAAAGAAGTCTTTTCAAAAACATTTGCTGAGGCTACATTTATTTGATCAAAAATACAGTAATAACAGTAATATTGCAAAATTTAAAATATCTGTTTTCTCTTTTAATATTTTTAATATGTCCAACCCTCTATATTGCGAGTAAATCACTCGCATATGCGACTAAATCAATGCTTAACTGCTTGACTGACTGATATTAAGAGTGTACTTTCAGATATTTAAAAAGCTGTACCATTTTACAAACATTATACGTTTACACAGTAATGGCATCTCATGATTTTTAGATGTGGCATCCCATAACCATATATTAAATAACAATACTAAACAAACAAAACTATTGTAACACATTTAATACATTTTTTTGTTTATCTTTTATAAAAATAAAAATAAACCACTGATTACAATAACATAATGTGTATCTTTAATTACATAAAAAAGTAATGACTTGCAGTTCAATAAGTGAGTCAGAATAATTCGGTAACCACTCTGAATCAAGAGTTTTGATTCACAATAACCAACTCATGAGAGTCATTCATTCAGGAATTGGGCTTCAGTGGTTACACTGCATGTTTTTGATTCACTAAAAAGAACTGACTCATAAGAGTCATTCATTTAATGCTTCGACCAGCTTCACAAAGAAAGTTTTGCCTGTAAACAGCATGACTATGCTGGTCTTTTCAGATGTGAGAGGTAGATTAGGGGTTTGGGGTTAAATTGAATGGCAGGGGTCTAATTGTCCAACAACAGGAGCTGATCTCCTTTACCCGTCTCTCTCATTGCTATCTCTCACTGACTTCCTCTTTCTTTGGCTCCATCAATTAGCTCCGTCCCCTTAGCAGCAAATTGCACCGTAATTTATTACTTTTAGACACACACAGCCTTTGTGTTCCCATGTTCTTTCTCTTTTCCTTTTCTTTTCTCACAGTTTTCTCTCATTCTGTAGCTGCATGAATACTCATGTCTTTTGAATTCTGTAACTCAGCCAGTGGTAACTGTACGGGCATGTACATATATGCATGTCTTTTTGTACATCCCAGCAGGCATTCTGTATTTATGCATGTGAATGCAGTTTTCCTGTGTGTGAGTCACTCTAAAGCTGTTTAAATTCCAGCGTGTGTATTTGTTTGTGTGCGTGTGTGTCTTTAACGAGGAAGCAAAGCACTGCTGGAAGCAGGTGCAACCAAAGCCAGTATGTAAATATCATCATTGTGTGTTTTTATCAAGAGTGGGAATTGCACAATTGCTCAGTGAATGGGCCTCTAGCAACAGCTTACACTGGATATACAAGCACTCGGGTTGATTAGCATGAATTGGGCAGAGTAATATCGCTGCGACCGCTAATTGCTGACATGATACTTAACCTCAGCATTCAGATAGTTAAATATGTAAACACATTAAGCTAATCAATGCAGGGGTTTTGGCTCATATTGTAAACCGAGGAGTGGAATTTGAATGCATTTCTCACAATAGCTTTGGAGGATCATAATATTGATGCATAATATAATATGCTAAGCATATGATGAATTTTATTGAATGGTTTTAAGTGCTCAGCATGAAATGTGGTGCACAACCCATTTTACTTCCAAAAAGGGGATCTAAAAATATGACGCATAAAAAAAAATAATAATCAGGAATGGGCATTATATATAAAGTGGTGGAGCAATTCATTACAGTTTGATTAAAGACTATGAAGACAAACAATAAAAATAAATAATAATAATAACATGCACTTAAGAATATCATGCATATTAAGACCAGGAAGATGTATTAGAAACAAAGTGTAGTGTTTTTTTCTCTCTCTTTTCTTTTTTAATGTTTTTTAATGTCTCTTATGCTCACTCCAGCTGCATTTGTTTGATCAAAGATATGGTAAAAAAAAGTTTATTTTTCATTTAACATAACTGTTTTCTATATTATCTATCTATATAAATTAATAAGTTAGTAAAATAATTTTTTTTTGGCCATCAGACCCCCTTCTTGAATCAGGCATGTATTTTTAACTGTACAATTAAAAGCAGCCTTGCTGAGCAGAAGAGCCTTCTTTTAAAACATTAGAAAATATTACAGATCCCAATTTGAACACTATGTGTGAATGTTATAATAAATGTATTAACAGAGCTGTTGAAATTATTATCATTATTATTGTCTTACTTTTTATTTTATTTTACAGAACAACAGTAAAATTACGATACTAACATTTATGATTGTTTATGGAGTTATTGCTTTTTCTCAACTTTTATTTTGTCGGAAACGTGCAGGAAGACAACAGCAGATTTATAAATGAGTCTCATTACGAATAAGTCGCACGTGTCGCATTGTCACGTGCCTTGTCAAAAAAAAATCACAAAAATGTGACTGAGCAACTGAGTACACTTTTACAGTGCAGATTTCCCTCGCGGTTTAGACTTTGAACCTTGGCTAACGAGCAGATAGCACCGCGAGTTCATGCAGCGCTGTCAGAATGCAATGCATGCGTGTATTAGAAAACATGACGTTCTGCAGTTTATTTACTAATTGTTTAAGGCCATTTCGCGATTTCAATTATCTTACAGTAACCAGCAACAATCACCCCTTCCTCTTCTCATCTAAGACATGCGATGCAATACTAACAGTCTCTCGCTGTCGGTGCTTGTATTGATTTTTATTTCTTTCTCCGACCGTTTTAAATGCTTCCACACTGCTGACATGTTTGTTGCATTGCGCCTCTCACTCTACGCTGGTTGCTATTTGATTGCGTCACGTCATTGTTCGGTACAGTTTATTCGTTTTTTTTTCGCTTATAATTTCGGTTACTGAACATTCGGTGCATCCCTAATGTGGAGTGTTAGTTTCTACTGAAACAATGTAAGTGTTACTCCTGGATATTTTGTGTTCATTTGATAGCTGTTTCATCAGTCACTCACCTTTGGGACTGTTTTTACACCTGCTCGTTCCGTCTGATCCCTTTCAGATCATCTCCTCCTCCCCTTTAACCCACCAGCAGTGCAGACAAAGCAAAGCACAAGATATGCAGCATTTCTGTCAGTGGCTGTTGACACAGTGCTGCTAAAACACACAGGAAATCTCAGTGTCGTAACTCAAATTCACCTCCCTAGTGGTGTGTATTGACACAAAGATGGTAGCTTCAGCTGAGTCATTCTCTGAAGTTAGCGAAGCAGCTAGCATGACTTACAGCACCTTAAAGTCATTTACTGTGTCACAAAAGATCATAATCATAATCACTGCAATGATCATATTGACAGGATGTTTGTCTGTCTTTGTTTTTCACCTCATCTAGTTAATATGGTTTCCCAGAAACTTATAGTTACAATATATAGCATTAACCACTTTCCTGAACACTCTTGTCTTTTGTTTTGTTAGTTAAGGGGAAAAATTATAAGGGGAATGATTGGCATGTTAATCTAATTTGGTTGTCTGTCGATCATCATGGGAGTTTTTTTTTTTTTGTGTGTGATTTGTGCTCAGGATGTGGAAGGAATCAAAACACGGGCCACATTCTTCTGTAGAGGCGTCCATCACTGCCTGTGTTTTCCTCCTCTTCTTATAAACGCTCGTTGTTCTTGAATTTCTTTGCTGTAGTTTTAATGAGACCTGGAGTAGATAAGTGGTGAAAGTCAAGTTGGACGAGATTCATTGTTTTTGTTGAGTAAGTGTGAGTGCGCATTACTGTTCAAAAGTTTGAGGTCAGTAAGAATTCAGCTTTGCAATCTCAGGAATAAATAACATTTTAAAATATATTCCACACTGGAAAAATGTTTTCATTCATCCAATTAAAAACATTTACACTGAAAAAAATGTTTTCATTCATCCAGTTAAAACAATTTAGGGTAATGGTTGACATCTATATTTCATAACTTGAGCCAATGAAAAATAAATAACTTGCCCTAAACAATATTTTCTAT